GTTTGAAAAGCACTGACCTAAAGCGTCCCAGGCTAGTTTGGGAGTATGGGCAGATTTCTGAGCTGGTAGATGTTTTATTTTAATCTGCAAGGATAACTGAAGGCCAAGTCAGCCAGGGGTCCCACACACCATTCAAGATAAGAACACATCTGATTTGGCAGGAGCTACTCTTGGGGGTGGCCCAACATGGGTCCCGCTGCCTTCATTACTTGGGGACTGCGGTCCCGCCTCGTGCCGGCATGGGGTGGCGGCGACGTCAGATAGTGAGACACTGAGTCGTGAGGGAGCTCTTACCGTCCTGCACTTGGTCTGTGCACATGGATGAAACACGTTCAGTGGAATCTAAGAATGGGGGGTGGGGAACGGTGGGGAGGTGGAGGGGCGGGCTTCTCTCTCACGTCTACCCCAACCCAAAACATCCCGCAAGAGCCCCGAAACCAAACCACAAAGCACCACGGGATGGGAGGCCGAGAAGCAGGACCCAGGAAACACAATAATTAAATAATACAATGAAGGCTTAAATTTCCAAGTTGATTCTTGGGTATCATTTATAAAAGTTAACAGGGCATATTTAATTTAGGAATTGGCTCACATCCTTCTCCTTACAGCTGAAACCTCATAAATGAGATATACTGGATCAGTGCCCAGTGCGGAAATAAAAGTTATGAATAATGTTTCTATCTCAATCATTGTCAGTGCTTTAATATTCCTAATTACTTTAAAAAGCTAGATATTCAATATAGGAAAACTTTTTTTCTTTTTATCTCCACTTGTGAGATTAGTGCAATTTAATAACAGTCACTCTGTCGTCCTTATTCAGTATAAACTGATATTTCATCCTTTCACTCCTCGTTATTATATGGGATGGAGGTTTATGACCAAGCATGCAGCACTGCACTTCCCTGTAGCAGTCCTTCTGACACCTCGGAATTATCCACAATAGCTCATGTGCCTGTTTGCCAGGCAAATCAGCAACACCTCTCTTTATGGAGCAGAAAAAATTTAGTCCAGGCCTTAAGGAAATTAGGCTATGGGGTTGTCAGTCTGGAAAAGAAGGAAAATTCTCCCACCCTACCCCAGGACTAGATCTGTCCCCTTCACAACTGTCAAAGTCATAAATCCCTCGGCAGCCACGAAGGGCAGAGCAGGAATGATGGATCTTTATAACCCTCCTTGCTTCTTTCAGGAATGTATCCTAGGAAGAAATCGGGACAAATGGGCAAAGATATATGCACGAGAAGAATCACTGTAGTATTTTTTTTTTTTTTACACAGGGCCACAGTCCCTTGCCCACAATCCAAAAATCCCTAAAAAGCCATAAGAAAAATTGCTTTAAAGTTCAGCACCAAAATTCATTTAGAGGCCAGATCTTCATGGAACTGATTCATGGTTATGCATCGCCTTGATGTCACTAGATGGAATTAGTCCTATTCAGAAATATTACTATGTCTCATCCCAGGGTGCTGCCCAGACCCCTCTGGCGGTAATACATCATATATGTATAGTCACCACACACGTTTCTCAACTCTGAAAAAAATTGAAATTCTGAAATCAACAAGCCCCAAGGACCCTGAATACAGGATGGTGGGGCCTTACAATAGTGAAAACCCCCAAAACAACTTAAAAGCCCATCAACAAGAGACCGGTCAAATACCTCTGGTAATCCACAGAAGAAAACTCTATAAAGGTCTTCAAAAATTTAAAGGGAGATTCATGTTTATTGACAAAGATATCAGTGCATGACATAAAGTTAAATTTAAAAAGCAAGTTGCAGAACAGCACTAGACATGATCTAATTCATACAAGTTGTATCCAGACGTAGCTCGCAGTGCAAATATGTAGAGAAATGACAGGGAGGGCAACCACCCAGATGCGGGTGTGTGTGTTTCTAACCTTTTTGTAGGATTCTTGTGTGGTTTGGAGTTTCTCTTTAACATGAACAGGCGTGATTTTAGAATCAGAAAAACAACAACAATGATGCTTTTTTGAACAAAAATCCAAGCTTCCCTGCAAGGGGATCATATGCATAGACATGTACATGGGCAGCTCCCATTCAGAAATCTCCAGAGGTACACACTGCATGGACCAGGACACCCATCCCCATGGGCACGGGCCCCAAAGACCCTAGGGCACACTCAAGCAGACAGCATCCAGCGGCACGCTAGCAAGCAGGCTCAAATTGCTTGGACTACCCCTGGTCACAGTTTGTGTCCTGTGGCTGATTCATCTACCTCCACAATAGGATCTCGGGACCACATATTCCAAGCGGATCCTTCTTCCTCCTGTGAGCAACAGAGTCTTCTCATCAAAGACCTATTTTGACCTTAGGCTGTATGAATAGAGGTTGAACATCTAGAGGAAGAACGTGATCATTAAGATGACGGTCAGTTTGGGACTCAGGTGTTTGCTTGGTGGACAGTCCCAGTTTCACCATTTACTAGCTGTGTGTCTGTGCAAAGTTTGTTCTCATCTGTAAATGGGGCTAATAATAATTCCTATTCCGTAGGGTTGTTGTGGAGATTAAGTGAGAAGGTAACTGGAGTGCCTAGTGCATCATAAAATTCAATAAACAGTATCTACTTCTGTTACTATTTTTCCATACCAGCCTACAGTTGTGTGGTCATGCCTAGGAATGATAGTTTAAGAGGACTAAAGGCCACCAGCCAACGGAGAGGAACCAGATGGGGAAGGCAGATCAGACCACATCAGGCGAGAAACAAAGGAGCTTAGAGAATAAAAACTTGGGGAAGGAAGTGATCGCTGTCTTCTAATACCCAAAGGGCTGAGCCGTGGAAGGGGACCCCGGTTTCTTCTATGCAGCCCCAGTGGTTATTATCAACTACTCTTTGATGAACATCTTCCCGTACCCAGTCCATGGCCTCGTCCACTGATCTCCTTGGGAGAAATTCCAGACATGGTGAGGAGAGTCATGGCGATCCATCAACCTGCTCTGGACTTTATCATGAGTAAGACCCAACTGGTGAATCCTTGAGACAGATTTCCACTTAATAGAAGGAGAAGCTTTCCAACAGTCAGGACATACTTTCACAAGAGGCAGTGAGCTCCTTGTGAATGGAGGGACTCACACAGAAGTGGGAAGGCTCTTGGTGACATCTAAGCTTTCGGTGCACTGAATGATTTTGAACGGGGAGTTTATGAATTCCTTTCATTCAATGCTGGTTCCGGCAGAGGGTTGGAACCCATCTTTCGGGACTTCCTTTGGGTTCAGTAGTACATGCCTTTGAGTCGACTTAGGGATGGTGGCTCTTCAGGCCATGAAAATGGATTTAATTCAGGAAACAGCTCACCACTGAGTCTGATGGCTGAATTGGGGGTGGAGGAAATTAGGCAGTCCCGTGTTATACTGGCAGCTAGCAAGGCCATTTCCCTGTCTGTTTGGTAAACTCGCTCTAGGGGCAAGATTTACTCTAAACTGCCCAGTCCTGCTCAATCGAGTGCCACCTTCATTCCATTTCTTTCACAGAAGGGAAACCCTGAAAGACACAGACCATGTCGAAAAGACCCTCCAGGGCCCACCCCAGGCCTGCCACAGTCTAGCATAGAGAGAGCACCACACGCACTTGCACTGATCGGTGGTTTATATGCACTCAGGGCCCCCGAGACTCAGGCTGTATTTCTAACCTCCAACAGGCTGCCCTTGACATTATAATCCAGCACGCAGCAAGCAGACCTGTCCCTGCAAGGTCCCCCTAAATCCAAGTCAGTTCTCCGTCAAGCATTCGTGGTGAGCAAAGTTACATAACACAAAACATGGACGGGAGGTGGGGGAGGACAAGCTCTTGAACATTCTAGCCCACATGTTTCCTGTGGTCCACAGAAAGACTGGTGCAACACATTCCCTTACCTCCCTCAAGTTTACTTTTCGATGTCTGGAGGAATCCCTGGCCCCGTTGCTCAGCGTGGCCCACCTCAAAGCAGTGAAACAGGTGGGAGGCAGAGACTACTGAGGCCCCAGTGCATCGAAGAGTTTCCCGAGTCCCCCAAAACAGATCCCAGACTCCTCGAGCCAAGATAACCTCCCAGGCTCAAAACAAAACCACATCCAATAGCCTTGCTGGGGGCTATGTTCTCATGTAATGGGTAGACAGGGAAGCTCCGGTCAAGGCCCTTGGGAAAAAGGACCATAACTAGATGTTTCCACCCCAGCAGAGACAGCGGAAAAGGGCAAGAGCACCACACTGGACCACCATGGACCCACCATTCCCTTCTTCAAGTTTTCATAACCATCACAGTTACGTTGGGACTGGAAACAGGGAGGTGGCTCCCAAAGATGGGTCAATGCTGGGGGTTAGACCCCAATAGATCAGCTTAGATACGTTATCTACTCAAGTCACAATAAAAAAGACGCTCTACCCCAGCTCAAAGCAGGAAGAAAACTGGGCTTCAACACTAATCAAAGCCTAATTGAAAATCCCATAAAACCATAATGTTGACCAACCATTGACTGCAAAATGTGCCAGCGGAAAGAGATTCATCTGTGAGCATTTAGGGGAAATGAGTCCGAAGAGCAAGAGGTGTCTTCAGCTGGGTTCTTGGCAGAGAATTCCCCGAGCAGCTGCGAGGTGCACCCCACCCTCTCGGTGGCCAGCCCCACAGCAGATGTGATGCCCCACGCTGCTATGGATGGCAGCAATCTCTGGCCCTGTCCGTCGGTCCCAAGAGCATCTCAATTTCACTTTGACCCTTAAAAGACCATATCCAGAGGTGTTCCATCAAGTCAGAGTTGTACAAATACTCCACAGTTCCCAACAAATGCAATGCACAATGCTCCTCCAGACCCCCACAAACCATGACTCCCCATGCCCCTGGAGGCTTCCGCCCCAAGTATCACTATGTAAATGCAGGGATGCCTCCTCCCTAATGTCCACACCCACCCGGGCTGCCCCAGGCCAACACAAAGAATTCAGAATGTACATGGCACACCCCCCCCCCAAGCCACAGCCAAGGGACCTCCTGGCCCCCAAAGACCCCAGACTCACCGCTGGAACAGTCGGGCCCTCCCCAGCCGGGCTCACAGTGGCAGGTGTCCGGGGAAACACAGCGGCCATGCACACACTCCTCCGTACACAGGGCTGCAGGGGGCCGGCAGAGAGGGAGGAAGCACAGGAACAGACAGTGAAAACCAACCATCTGGTCAAAGAGCATAAACCACTTTGTAATGATCTCCTGGGGCCCAGGACTGCTCAGAATGCATCACTGGCTTTGGGGAAAATCAAGCTACTCCTGACCCGCGTCATTTCATTAACTCTGAAATGGATCCAACAAGAGTGTGCTTCATCCCAGCCTCACTTCCTAAAAGGAAACCCAAGCCCAAGAAAGGGCAGCCTTAGCTTTTCAAGAACATTCTCTCTAAGATTTAACACTTGGAGACCCTCCACAAACCCCAGCCCTAAATCCACACTCCTGCTCTCTTTCCCACAAGCTCAGGAAGTGACCTGTCACGTCCATCTTTTGCTTTTCCCGGTTTCTTTCTACAAAGGCCCCGAAATTTATCAGGTTGCCTGCAAAGAACAGGTTCCTCTCCCGTTTCCCCCACCTCTCTGCTCTCCTCCCCAAATGCCCCTATTTTGGGGCTCTCAAATGTCAGCAAATCTGCAAAGTACACAAATGCTGAGGAAAAAGCAACAGCTAATTATAAGAAAGTAATTAAGAGAGACATCTACGATGATGATAATTGTAATTAGAAAGCGCCTGGCAATTTCTTATCACGCAGTCAAACGCTATAGCCTCCTGAGCTGGGAGGCAGAGGTGGCAAAGTTTCCATCTACTTCCTCCAGCTCCGAGAAGGCTTACTGGCAGCAGTTTGAGGAAGGGGGATTATTTCTCTCTTCCTTTGACATCTACACGTTCTCAAGGTCGTCCTCCACTCCTGAGAGATCTGCCCCACCATCAAATCCATCAGTGAAGGATTAGAGAAAACCCCCATTTTGCCACCCAGGCCAATTTTGTAAGCTCGGGAAATCAGCAACTACCATCGACCCTGTCAATTTCTTAGACAGGATCTAGATGAAGGGCTTTTTTCTGACAAGCAATGAGAGACCTTCTCTCCGCCTGGAACTGGCCTGGGTGGGGGGCCACAGGCGGCCCCCAGTCCTGAGTCCTGACGGACAACCACTGACCTCCAAACACCCACTCTACTCCCACGTCCACTGCCTGGTCTGAACACCCACCTAGAGGCCACACGGTCAGGTTAGACAACAAAGTCCATTTTATGGTCGGTGTGATGCTGATGGTGAAGCCATTGCCTTGGCTTTGCCCAAGCCCCCATGCAAAGGCACCCAGAAGAGCCATGTCAGATGCCCGACTGGTCAGTGGTCTGCAGTCAGCCTGCCCTCTCCAGACCTCGCTGTGGTATATCAGGGGAGGGCCCCAGCACCCATGTCCTTCGCATTTGGACAGGTGGCTGTCAGGGAAGGTTCTGGTCTGTGAAGTTTTCCACCGCCCCGGAGCTTCGGGGAGTGGCAGGGGGCCCACCAGCTAACCCAGTTCTCGCTGGGGAACTGGGTTGGCCCCTGGCTCCGGCGACCAGCTCCACTTAGAGCCGCAGTGAGCTGCTCACCCAGCTGCTGGCAAGACCTCGTCTGACCATGCCTGCTTCCCCGGCTCTTTCTGCTCTGCTGGATGTTCTAAACAAACTCAAACAGGTGAGTGTGCCCAGAACACACCGGACACGAGATGTCCATCCCCAGGCTCCCCGTCAGAGGCCAGCACCTCAGCCCAGCCAGCTCCAAGCCCTGGCCTCAGCTGCTTCTTTCCCCCATCTGCATCCCCATAGGCTGAGGTCCCCGCATGGTTTACTGCTGGGTCCCTCCCATCAGCTTGTCAGATTAGCTCAAGAAACCTCCGCTGCTTTCTCACAGCACACCTTGATCCCCGGGGGCTCTGCTGGGGGCCAGTGAGAGCAGACAGTGAACAATGAACCTGCCAACTATCAGGGCTGGAAGAGACCTCAGAGAAAATCACGTCCAACCCCTTCATTTTATGCACGGAGAAACGGAGGCCCAAGTGTTTGTGAGCTCGTGGACAGAGTGTGGTCTCCTGGCCTGGAGGGAAGGAGCTTGGGGATGAGCTTCCTGAAGGTAAAGGGAGGGAAGAGGTGCCCAAGACCGCGGACCTTCAGCTCTCACCCACCTGGATGCCTTCCCCGCCCCGATGGCTAGGGGAGCCAGCCCAGAAGGACAGCGAGTGGGTGACCCCCAGGAGGGTGAGAGCTGAAGGCAGAGGCCAGAGAAGCTGCTCCAACTCACTGGGCGCCCTGCAGGGGGGCCGGGCAGGGGGCGCAGAACAGCTCAAGGGAGGAAGGATGAAGTACCCTGCCAACCATCGCCTCTCCCTGGCCCTTCTCACCCTAGGGACCTGACCACAGGCCTATCTCCTGCGCCCTCTCCCTAGCTGGAAGGGCAGGGCCTTCGGGTGCTCTGGGCAAGCTCCACACCACCTTTTCCCTTGGTCTCTGCCCCAAACCCCAGGGATCCCCTAGGACAATCTGTCGAGCACCTCCCCCCAGCTCAGCCCTGTATCCAGCATGCTGGCTCCCAGTGACCTGATGTGCGGAGATGAGCCATCCCACAAAACCTGGGCCTGGCTCCAGGGACGTTGTTGCTGTCCCCGTGGTCCGTCCAGACCTCGTTATCCCCCTCCCCTCCTCATCACCCTGGGATTATGCCTGGGTGCTTTGCTTGTCAAAACCTCAATCCATTCATATTTCATAGGTGTTGCTTAGACGGTGTTGTTTGAAGCATGAAATATTGATAGCAAATATCTGAGGCTCAGATGGCCAGATGTGGCAACTGGGCCACCATGTGCTTATGGACCTGGTGGGGAGGGGATAGGATGCAGGTGCCGTGAGGAAAGTCTCCTGAGGAGGAATGGAGGGGAGACCCAAGCTCCTCCCTGGGGCTGGGGTTCCTGACTCCTACCCCAGACCCTGCACTAGCCCAGAGGTGGGCAGCCCCTCTGCAGAGGGCTGGGGTGTACGGGTCCCCTGAGTTCTTTCTGACCCCAGCCCCCCATGCCAGCCGACCCCCCAGGAAGGGCTGAATTAGGGTTCTGCCACCCTGGCCTCCCTTTTCTCCGGCTCCTGTAATTCCCAACAGGGGCATTTCGTTGAGCCCCGCTTCCCACTGCTGTCCCCCCAACTGCTGTTGGGGACATGCCCGCAGTGTGACTGAGGGCCAGCCACCTCCCTTCTCCCCGCCCCACTGAGCAACTTGAACCTCTGCTCTCTCAGCTTCCCAGCACCTACCCTCCTGCCCCAGTCCTGCTCCCAGCATCCGGGTGCCGGAGGTATCTTCAGTGAGAAGCAACACAGCAAAGACTACACCAGAAAGCCGGGTCTGGACCCAGAGATGCCACTTAGTAGCTCTAGACCTCGGGCAAATTCACACCATCTCCATGTCAGTCCCCATCTGTTCAGCGGGGGGGACAGTGACAGGACGGGCCTCAGGCTGTGTGTGAGGATTATAGGAGTTGACAAAGCACCCAGAGCAGTGCCTGGGGTCTAGTAAGTACTATGTGAGTCTTGCTATTGTTATTTAGTAGGGTATTCTCGGACTTGAGGCGAGGGCCTCTGCACACTAGCTGTCTCCCTCTCTCCTTCACTGAGGCCCTACACACATGGATACAGGGGGAGGTCTGTAGGGATCTGCAGATAAACCCTGGTCGGGGATGGTATGCTGGAGGGTGGCCCCGTCTCCAGCCCTGCGGGGGAGGCCAGGGTGGGAGACAATGTGATAACCTGAGTCTAAATTCCGTATGTGTCGATGACAATTACAGGACAATAAGCAAATTATCTAACCTCTTGTGCCTCAGTGTCTTCATCTGTAAAATGGGGACAATAATAGTACTTAACTCATGTGTTGTTGCAAAGATTTAATGAAATACATGTAAAATGCTAAGGCCGGGGCGCCTGGGTGGCTCAGTTGGTTAAGCGGCTGCCTTCGGCTCAGGTCATGATCCCGGGGTCCTGGGATCGAGCCCCGCGTCGGGCTCCCTGCTCAGTGGGGAGTCTGCTTCTCCCTCTCCCTCTGCCTGCCTCTCTGCCTACTTGTGCTCTCTCTCTGTCAAATAAATAAATAAAATCTTTAAAAAAAAAAAAATGCTAAGGCCAGTGCCTAGCATACAATACGTACTCAGTAAGCATGAGCTGCCCTGATTATTTACATGCACACACATACTCATACACACATACACATGCGTGCCCCATGCGGTCTGGACTTGATGTCTAAGCCAGCTGACGGCTGCTACCACGTATCACTGCTTCCTGTACATTACCATTTTCTGAACACCTACTATGTGCCAGGCCTCGGAACTTCCAACACATGCTGTCTCCACTTCTGTCACAGGCCATCCCAGTACACCTTGACGGAGTTAGCAACATCAGCACCTGTCTCTCCTTTGTGAATCTCTGGAGTTTGGGAGGACAGAGGCCACTTCCTACTCACCCTTTTTAAGCTCTCATGCTGCCTGAAACAAAGCAGCTGTCTCAGTGTTGGTGGGTCCCAAGGAGAGAGTCATCTGCTCCAGGAGAGAGACCCCAGAGCACATGCAGGGAGGGCCTGGCTATCTCCCCCGAGCTCGACTTCAGAGCTCAGTCACAGAGAAGTCACCAAATCTCGGGGCCCTGTGCATTGGCTCAGGCGGTTTCTGGCCATGGGGGACCGGGGTGGCTGGGGATCTTGAGCAACGGCGCTGTGGGGTTTCAGAACAAGCCCAGCTACAGGTGGGAGGAGATCTGGGTTGGCGACCACCCGCATCCATCTCAAAGGTGTCAAGCATCCCACTTTCCTCTCCAGGCCCTGCAACTTCACCTATAAATTGAGACCAGACCAGATGAGATCTGCAAAGTCCCATTCAGCTAAGAATCATCAAGAGCTACCATCCTGCCCAGCCCTACCCCCTCCAGGAAATGCCTGCATCACTGCCATTGCCCTAGTCCCACTTCCTGGCCCCCCCAGGAGCCCCCCCTCTATGGCCTAGTAAACCTGTACTCTTGACATCATGGGACCCTGGTCTCTGTCCTCCATTCCTCTGGAAATGGCACTGGATTAGGAGGCAAGGAGACCTGAGTGGG